TGACAGTCATGGTTCACAATAAATACAATTATTCCGGCTGACGTGGTAAGGATGACATCTGAGTTTCTGTTGCTTCATAAATTATTATTATGTGAAAATCATTATTTATTAAAGACTACGTTACTTAATCATACGTCGAGTCGAAAAACGTTCAAAAGGTTCGTTTTTCGTGCACAACATCAGCAAATTTCTCCAGCTACGTTTGCCATGTATTTTGTTTCTATCTTTCTTGGGTTATTGCAGCTCTGTTGTATGATACCCAAATCGCAAGGTTAGTTTCAGTATAGTTTCTAAAGGACTGGCCATACATGTAGCAAGGAACAAGACTGTAACATTACACTTTTTTCTGCATTATAACAACGTAAAAAAATTATTTATTCTCTATGGTTCAGAAAATGTGTTCAGACTTGCAATAATTTCCAGGAGAAAAAGAGTTGAAAATGGTTGTAGATCAATGAACATCATGTTCGTCACCTTCTTTGCGTGTGAATACAGTATGAGCAGCTGTTTGGCACGAGATGACAGGAAACCGACCTCAGAGTTTCCCTTTAAAAACTGCTGCTTAGAATTGTCTCCTCGAAAGGTAAAAACGTTTTAAAAAACGACTATTCGGCTTTTTACTTAACGCCACAAAAGCATTAATGTTACCGGCCCCTTTCGTGGATTTCTCTACGCGAAGCAATTCGTAGAAATTTAAAAAATACCTTAAGATTATAAACGATAATCGTAGATCTCCTTCAGTTAAATTCTACTCAGCAACGCTATTTTATTTCCATCGTTTTTAATTCTCCGCTTCTCGCCTAACGACGATTCGTACTGACTGACTTTTTAATTGGAAGACGGGGTTTTTGATTTCTGCCTATCGATTGCTTGCTTCTTTGCTACAACCATTGCTACACCTTTCATCAAACAAGTGAGTCCTACAGGAAATCGCCATGAGCTCTCATCCATTATTTTGCCAGACTTTGTCAGAATTGTAATTACTATTCGTTAATTACCACTATTCAATATCACAGTGCACCTTTAAGTTCTTTGGGTCACTTTTGCTTCGTGGTGAATTGCCTCCAGAGAGAGTTAGAGAAACCTTGCAATTATTGTTTAAAAAAAAAATAGGTGAAACTTATGAAGAAGGATGTTGGTGAGGGATGGCGAGGATTCACATGGATTGCGCCTAAAAAATTTAAATAACGTTAATGATAATTCGTTACCGTTTTGAAAAAAGAAGAAACAAGTCAACACAAAAAAATAAAAAAAAAGAAAGAAGAAAAGAATCTACGTCACATTTCAAAATCTCAAATAGTTTTTCTCTGAGATAACATCCTGTCCTGACTTGTTGCTGATTTTCAAAACGTGGGAATCTTGCAACTGTTTTATCTCAGGAGGAGTATCATATTTCTACCGTAGGCTGAGCCTAACCCGTTCAGATACTTAAAAATGGTTTTATCGAGTAATCGTCATATTTACTCCTCTCCAGAGGTAATATTCATAATGAGTATTAGAATATCTCACTTAAGCAGCATAGAAATGCTTACAAGAAGTCAAATTCACAAGATTTTTCACAAGAAAAAATACTCTGAGCAATTTAGAGCGATGTTTGCAAAACGCAGATCGGAATATGCATACATTTGTTAAACTTTGCAGAGCACTAGATAATATGCGTCAAAGTAGATCATTAGGTATGCAGGTCAGGGTTTTCATAATACAGGTCTCGCCTGCCTTGAACTAGGGCTTTGTCGACCAATTTCTTCATTATAGAATAGTTCATAGATAAAAATACCATGTCACCCAGAAGAAACTACAGTCCAGGTTTTTCGCATGACTTATCAATGATGATAGTCCTTATGCTAACAGCTGAAATACTAGGTAAACCATGATTAATAAAAACCGCAACCATCATTCTATTTGTTGAAGACGACATATCAGTGACAGAGATAATTAATAAGCTTCAACTGTATTTTCCATTAAGTTGAAGTAAATGAATCGTATAAGTGTTGAACAACTCGGCCATGTACAATGTTTTTGTTTGCGTTCTTTTGATGAAACTTTGTGTCA